ACCCCCCACACACACACACACACACACACACACACACACACACACACACACACACAGACACACAAAGAAACAATTGAAGTGAAAGTATGCTAAACATTAAATTTGCCAATGTCCATATTACCAAGGCTTATGCTCAACAGAATATAGTCAAACTCAGCCAATCCCACAATACTTTTGGAGGTAAAACAGTCACAAGCTCTGAATGTTATGGAAGCATGTAGGTTAACTATAATATAGCTTCTCCTTTTGTTTCAGGGCAGTCCAAGATGTGGCTGCTGTTGACAGTAACAAGTGTGATATCTGCATTTGGAGGCACACATAGCTCCTCTAGAAAACTGACTCCTGAGAGCCTTGAAGCAAACATGAATATTGTGAGTTACTAAGGGAGATTACTGGGATGAGAGCCATGATAGGTCTAAACTTTTAGTTAAAAGTTAAAATTCACTAGAAATACCTGTTAGATGCATTTTAAATTAATTAAAACATAAAAATTTTGTTTTTAAAATTTCTTCCTCAGAATCTGATGATAAATTTCTGGGGATATCCAAGTGAAGAATATCAAGTTATAACTAGAGATGGCTACATTCTGGAAGTCTTCAGAATTCCTTATGGGAAAAAACATTCAGAGAATTTAGGTATAAACTTTCTTCCTGTTCCTCATTGCTTCTTTTCTTCCTTGCCTTTTTCCCTTCCCTTCATCCATCTCTCCATCTGTTCCCACACTTTTCTTTGTTTTTCCCTTCATTTCTTTCTAACATTGAAATGAGTAAAGTTTACTCTGTATGCAATGCAAAGTTGTATTTCCAATCTTCAATAAGCAGCAATCAAGTCTACTGAGACAAAGGAATGAGAAAGCAATCATGATTAAAAAAAATAAGGACTATCAAAGGCCTCTAACCCAGTTAAAGAAATCAGGGACAATTTCTTTCAACACAGTAGCTGAAATCCAGTGCATGGAAAGAGTTAGCCAGTTTGTATTGTAGAGGGGAGGCTGGAAGTAGCTAAAGGTCTATTTCCTAAATAGACAAAGGTCATTTTATTTTGATAACATTGATAGGTTTTCATCTTTTTCTCACTACAGAAAAATAATGAAACATAACTTTACTACTCTTAACCTACATTTACTCAATGCTTAATTTCCTTAGATTATCATTTAATATCTTTATTTACATATAACTGACAAGTAAGAGTAAATACATTTCATGTACACAATATAAGATGAGGATATAGTTCAACTGTACATTTGCATAGCATATGCAAGGTCCTGTGTTGATAAATCCAAATACACTAAATAAAAATAAAATTTATGTGCCAGAGTCTCAGTGGTTAAGAACCCTAGTTTCTCTTGCTTAGGCCTGGGTTCAATTCTCAGTACGCACAAGCTGGCTGCTCACAACTATACATAATTCCAGTTCCAGGAGATTGGATGCTATCTTCTGACCACTGGAGGCTTCTGAAAACATGTGGCACACATAAATTCATATAGGCTTACACAAATGCATAAAAATAATAAATAAATAAATAAATAAAGTGTACAATTTGATTAATTTTGGCATGCCAGACACACTCCAGAAAAGATATTTTAGATTTCAAATACAAACATAACAAAATAAACATACCCAATTTGACCACATGTCTAACTACCATAAGGAATAACTTTATAATGTTTGAATAATCTTTTTCCTTAGGCAAGAGACCTGTGGTGTTTTTGCAGCATGGTTTGCTTACATCAGCCACAAACTGGACGGCAAATCTGCCAAACAACAGCCTGGCCTTCATTTTGGCAGACGCTGGTTATGATGTGTGGCTGGGGAACAGCCGCGGGAATCCATGGTCCAGGAGAAATTTATATTATTCACCCAACTCAGTTGAATTCTGGGCTTTCAGGTAAAGAAAGGATAATTTAAAATGAGTACGTACTTGAACTCTAGAAGCATGGCCATTCTCACTTTCTCATTGGAGCCAATTACACTCCAGGTAGGAGGTAAAAAAAAAAAAATCCTATCTTTTTAATTCAACATTTGAATCTTCTATACACCTCATTCCAATGGTAGTTTTCCTTCAAATTGGCTATCATCTCTAGACCCAAGATCAAGAGATGCCTAAAAATTCTTTTCCAAATAAAATTAACAATACAGCAAAAAGGGAGGATGCAAGGCAAACTCCCTGTTGCTAGAAAGCTCCATGGGGAGAAACCAGAAGCCTGGGGATGTGTCAGAACTGGAAGGAAGGGACAGCA